GGACTAACGGAGTGCATTTCATATAGTTGAGGGATCAAAAAAGTGCAAAAAATTGTTGAGGGACCAAAAATGTTCATTTCATATAGTTAAGGGACCAAATTAAGCATTTAACCAAAATAAAAAGGAGAAATCATATTTACCACCAAAATATAAAAAAGGGAGAAACCATAGCCAGAATTCCCAAGACGGTGCGTTTTGGCGGGCACATCAATTGTATCGTCTGTTCGTCCCTACCCCATAGTCAACGATATGTCAGACTCCAAAAAGTGGGAAAATTTTCCCCAATGAGGAGGAAAAAAAGGAATATTGCGTTTTTTGTTTGCTTCACCCAGAAAGTTGAACTGGACAATGGAGCCATTGTTGCAGAGTTCTCAACCATGGGTTGAAAAATTGTAAGCTTTTCCCGTCTTCCTTCTTTGATTTCATTATAATCCCAGAAATTCTTACATTCTTCTTTTTTTTTTTCCGATTATGGAATCCTCAGTCGTCCAAAGCACGTGAAAGATGTAGCGCATCAGGAAGAGGTGGTGCGGGTCCTCACCAACACCCTCGAGACCGCAAACGAAATTCCATTCTTCTTACAGAACCCAAATATCAATACTCGATGCACTGTGTCTCTTTTTCTCTATTTGTTTGAGACCGCTGTTTTGTAGTCTGGTAGTTTTGCTGTGTACTAAAATACAAAATAAGAATACTTGAATGGGAAAGCTCTCAATATAAGAGGTCTGCCGATTTATATATTACAATTTAATATAGTTTGGACGGTAAAATACCTTTTTTTATGCCTTCCAAATATGGTATAGAGTTTTGGATGAATGTAATTTTTGTACCAAAATTTGTCTGTCTTGTTTAAACTGTTGATGAATATGAGTTGTTAGACCTGCTAGATTGATGTCTATAAAAATCTTGGATGCTGGATTGTTCCTTTGATTTTTTTCCGTGCCTGCTTGCTATTTTTTGTATTTGCTTTATCCGTATCCAACCTTTGCTTGTTTTTGCAGACCTGAACTCTATAAGTCTAGGGTGCTGGAGCTAAATGCGAGTGATGACTGTGGGATCAATGTTGTTCGGACAAAGATAAAAAACTTGGCTTCTGTGGCTGTGGGTATGTATATTCTCAAATTTTGTAATGAACTCTCCTTTTGCTTCCATCTATAGGAGTTGCTCCTTGCTTATTTCATATATAGCTGTGTTTTTTAACCTTTTCAATTTTGATATTCTAGGGGTCACCCTTGCCGGCCATTCAAGATCATCATTCTTGATGAAGCAGATTCAATGACAGAGGATGCACAGGCATGTTTGGTTTCTATTCCTTCCTTCCCTGGTATTGTTAAATGGGCTGGTAGTCAGGAATGTCATAATATTAATTTCTGATGTCTCTTACATCCGACAAAGCAGAATGCTTTGAGACGTACAATGGAAACTTACTCAAGAGTTACAAGATTCTTTTTCATATGCAACTACATAAGCAGGTAAGCTTCTTTTATTGTTTCGTCTGAAGCCATTTGTTTTCTCTTCCTTATCTTTTTCACTATTCTATGGAACTAACTTCATTTGGTAATTAACAAATTAGAGATGATGAAATTTACCCCTTATTATTGAATATTATCAATCCAAAATGTGGTAGGAAAACAATGAACGAAACTTTTGAAATGATGCCAACCATTTGAATTTTGGAATGTCCCTGCTTGTAATTCGGAACACTGATATTTCTGAAAGTTAGGTCTCACTTTAGCCTGTTCAAAAATGACTGCGTTGCTTTATAAATTCAGATTATTTATCTGGTGGGCTTGCAAACTTTTGCAAGTACCTGTGGTCTTTGGGACTGTATCTGTATGGCATACTTTTCCTTCCAATACATTCCCACGCAGCCAATATTCAACCCATTTTAACTCAGAATATATTTTGTGCTATTAAATGTAAGTTGTACCCTGTACCCTGTACCCTGTAAGGTCGTATACTTTGCGAGAAATTCTACAATACAACGGGGATATCAGCTGATGTGGTATCCCCATCCAATAGGAGGGTGACAGATAATTAAATTAATAGACCTCATTGTATGACGAATACAACAGCTGAATCTCACTTAACGAAAAAGTTTCCGTTAGATACTCAAAGCTTCTCTCTCCTTCCCGTCTACAGTTTACTCTTTCATCTCCTCAGCTCCTCAGTTTTCTATCTTCCCCAAATCTCCCCACTCCTCTGCATAATTTCTCATCTATGATATCAAATAGAAAAAGGAAATAATTTTTAATTTGTTTCTATTCATCAATTGTGCCATTTTGAATCAACTCTCAATTTAGTAAACTCAAATCCAAACGGATCTTTTGCCGTTTGCCCCTCTTCTTCCTTGGTGGTTCTCTTTCTTCATTCTTCCTAATAGTTCGAAGCCAAGAAAATAAAATTCCTCACTAATAGAAACTTCATTGATGGTCCAAAAAAGAAAAAGATAGAAGCTTTATTGAAGTTTCAGCTCAGGTAAGGAGAAGGAAATCTGAGATACTAATATGGTTGGAATGGAAGAAGGTGCCTGAAACCCAAAAAAAAAAAAACCCTAGAAAAAGGTAGAAGATTTTGGGATTTCCACCTTGAAACCCTTGAAAAAAAAATGAAGATTTAGAAGATCTGGAATTTCCAAGGAGTTAGCATTGAGCATTACCCAAAAAATAAAGTTAGCATAAATGATTTCCACTTCTAGATGAACCCCAACCATCAGTACCAATTTAATTACCCAAGTTTTATGCATCTTCTTCTTGCCTAGAATGAAGATTTAGAGAGAAATTGATGGAGTGGGCAGATGGATTTACAAAGTAATTAGATGAATTAGGCTTTGGAAAAAAGAGATTAAGGTGGCCTGCAAGTATCTCCATGGAGATGGAATACATAATGGAGAAGGATGAAGGTAAGCAAACGGTAGAAAATGGAGGAAGGCACGTTACATTGAGTTTTTTATGGCCCACAACATGATTACGTGTCAAGCCATAATTGGTTTGGGATACATCCCACGTGATAACACCGTGACATTGTAGACTTTCTCTATACTTTGCATGCCAGCCAATAGAGTCAAGTTATGCTGGTCAAAGTGTAATTCTTGAAAATGATATAATTTTCTTTGTACCATTGAGCCACTTGCCTTAAGGTGTGCAAATTGCAAAGTTCAGGTTCAAGCCACTTTTAGAAGAAATCATGAGCAGCCTTATATTGCACATTTGTAAAGGAGAAGGACTTAATATAGATTCAGAGGCATGAATCTTGTTTCTTAGAGCTTCTCTTATGAATAGTTTGCAAAATAGCTTCTTTACCAAAAAATCTGTGTCTCGCAGGCTCTTCCAACTTTATGTTCTATCTCTCAAGGTGACCATCGGCAGGCAATTACATATCCGTAGGTTACATTATAATGATTCTAATGAATAATAAAC